GGGCCGTCGTTTCCGGCGCGGTGCAGGCTGGGATAACATCCGGGTCCCCCGCTGAGGTGAGCGGCGCGCTGTGGAGGAGGCCCGTTCCTCGCCGGTGTTTCTCTCCCAGGCGGCAGCCCCCTCCCTCCGACCGGCGCCATGGCGATGCAAGCGGCCAAGCGAGCCAACGTGAGTGCTCTCCCCTGCCCCCCTCCCCGGCCCGCCTCAGCCCTCCCGAGCAGCCTGGCGGGGTGTGAGGCGAGGCGGGGTCCACCGGCCCGGAGCTGAGAACAGGCCTTCCCGCCCGGTCTGGGCTCCTCCCGCGTCCCCGGCCAAGGGAGTCCGTCCCCCTCGAGGCAGGCCTCTTGGTTGACAAAAACACGTCAAGCCTGTAGCTGTGGCGGGTTAAAAAAGGACCAGCGAAGCGCACGGACTCTCTCAGCGATGTTAGCCCCAGGGTTTAGCACGTAGGCTGCTGCTTTTAAGGTTTGAAGTGAGCGCTTTAGGTCTAACGCACCGTGTGTTGTTTCTGCATCAGATTCGGCTGCCTCCAGAAGTCAATCGGATCCTGTACATTAGGAACCTGCCATATAAAATCACAGCGGAGGAAATGTATGATATTTTTGGGAAATACGGGCCTATTCGACAAATCAGAGTGTAAGTATTCTAGTTTTCTTGGAAAAGTTAAGGATTTTATGTGCTTTAGTATATGTGTTATAAGTCAGTATCCCTATTGCAGTAGGTAGCAACTGGATTTCACAGCTGAAAAAGGTGAATGCACTCTAGCAGTATCCCTGTGTGCCAAAGATGGACGTGATGGTATTTCTCTTACCTGTGAACTCGTTAGAATATAATATTGCTGGTAGGTAGGGTGAAAAAGCTTAAATTTGATGTGAACTTAAATGTGGTAAAAATATGACTTACTCTCTTAAGTAAATCTTAAATACAGCTAATCTCTTACCTTAACTAAAGGTAAAAATAAGAAAGGCAAAAGTTGAATACAACCTGTTTTTGTATTTAATGAGTATTAGATACTTAACTAATGGGGGAACAGAGGTGTTGCTATTGCTACTGGACCTGTCAACCAGAAACAAATACCAGAAGCAACTCCCTGTGCATCAGATACAGCTTGTCCCTGAGCCACGTCGTCGTGGGAAATGGCGATCTGATTGTAATTTTGTTTTCAAATGCACTGAGGTTATACATGTCTACGGCAAATCTGAGGCCCTTCTCTTTAGTTACTCCAAATACCGAAGACCTGAGCTCTGATGTTCCTTGTTATCCTAAATACTGTCCACATGCTGTGGATTAAACCGTAATTTCATCTGGTTAGTATTTTGAGAACCGTAGTTAGGCTGGTTGGAGTATTGACACTTATACAAAAGGATTTTTTTTTTTCCCCCTTCTGAAAAATGGTTAGGAAGAGGAGGGGGAGAAAACAAACTTGGTGTTTAATACTTAAAAAGAAAATGTTGTAAGTCATGTTTCAGTACGTGTACAAATAGAAAGGAAATGTAGTTTATATTTGATATGGGGATTTTTTTGTACTGCTTTTATCTGGACGTTGGCAAAATAACCTGCGGCATCTCCGAGTTCTCGACTAGGTTGCTGATCAGACTAGAGCAGAATGTATCCTTATCATTTCTATCGCTCTCCGTTTCCCTGTGCTCCGAGACTGGGATGGGTACTTAATCCACAGCGTGTTCAGTTGTTTTGACTATGCAGGACGTAAATACGTAAACAGGTAAACAGACCGAACTTCACTACCTCACATGGAAGTGCTCATTCCAGAGCCGTAGTGATTAAAATTGACTGTTCAGTGTATAGAATAAAGGGACTCTTACGTATGGAGTTGCCTTCAGTAGACATGAAGGAGAACTAATATTTAAGGTTTCTGAAAACGCGTAGGTCGGAACAGCATGACAGTAGGACATAAAGAATTAAGACATGTCAAGGGAGCTTTCCATCAAAGCGATGTGCTGGCGTGTGCATCCAACAGGGAACTGCAGGCAGCCTCCCCGCTGGTCGTTCAGAACCGCCGCGTCGCTTTGTTTTCCGCAGAAATCCTAACATCGTCACGAGACAAGGCGTAATGTGGCACTCCCTTTGTAGTGACCTTTGTGCAGTTTTCATCCCATTCTCCTCTTCAGTTTTTGTGCGCATCCTGGTGCGGATACGTGTGATGTCGTTTGTCCTCGGGAGTTCTCTTCTCAGAAGCAAGCGCCTTAGAGAGAGTTCTTCTGATTATTAAGTTCACTATAACTATCTTTTAGCTGAGATCTTCTGGATCTGCCAACTCTGTCGTCTCTCCGGGCTAGTTAGCGTTATGTGCCCAGACGTGTCTCCTGTCCCTCAGGCAGAGGAAATTGAACTGATGGTCCGATAGGTGACGGTTGTGCCTCTGAAGTGGTCTTGCACCAGCGGGGCTGTTCTGACTCTTTTAAATTGACTTTGTGATGTGCCAAGAGCCGCATTCTGCTCTGGGGAGACATCTGATCCAGACAGCCGTTAACTGGCAGCCTGGTCTTGTAGTATTAAATAAAACAAGCTAATCGCTGTAATAAAAACTTAAAGTATTTCCAGAAATATGACAACTCCTAACGGCAACAGCTTCTGGTAGTTGTTGTGGAGAGGTGAATTCCCTTTGGAGCATAACGCAGCACGTGCTCTGTCACATTTTCCTGTCGTCTCTGAACTGTAAGTGGGGATTGGTGTGGAAAGCCGGGATGTATTTTAATATCTAGGAAAAAAACAACACTGAATTGTTTTCTAGTGAAGTTGTGTTAGTTAATCTAATCTCCGTCACTGCTAAGGAACTATTTCCTCTTTTTTGTTTAACATTAAAACTGATCTCGCCCGCAGTGGCAACACTCCTGAAACCAGAGGAACAGCCTATGTAGTCTATGAAGACATCTTTGATGCCAAAAACGCTTGTGATCACCTGTCAGGATTCAACGTGTGCAACAGATACCTTGTCGTTTTGTACTATAACGCAAACAGGGTACGTACGCGTGGGGGGGGGTTAAGTTACCTGTGAACATAGCTGGCACGAAAAGAAACACAGTTTGAAAAGAGTTGCTTGGATATTTCTAAGACATAAATCCAAGCTGGTGGAGGGAAGGGATTGGATAAATTGTCAGGATTTCGTCTTTACTTGGTGATTTGTGTGCAAAAATGTACCTTTGGACCAAGGGTGTGAAAAAACATGCTTCTGGTGAGCGTAGTTTGGAGAAGAGGGGCCTTATAACGGACGGGTCACAACAGGGTGCGAGGCCTTGTTTACGGGTAAAGAGTCTCTAGGTCTTGATGTTCTGCCTGTTACTGATGGCGTCCAGGGTACTGTGCCTTTCTCCGAGGTTTAGCAGCGCTGTTGGTGTGTGGTGTTGATGTAGTTCGTAGTGACGTTAGTTGTGGTTACAGGGAAATAACATGTCATAAGATGAGAGTTTTTGGATTTTTTTTTTTCTTCTCACATCTTTTCTTTTCCTAATCGCAGGCATTCCAAAAGATGGACACAAAGAAGAAAGAGGAACAGCTTAAGCTTCTCAAGGAAAAATATGGAATTAATACAGACCCACCAAAATAAACTGATCTCTTTGGAAAACTGCAAGCCCTGCTGCCGAGTTTGACTGTTTGCAAGCCCTGCCGCTGAGTTCTTGAGCTATACCTAGGAATTCTCAATGAAGCATAACTTTTTTTTTTTAAATTTGATAAGCTGTAATTTGACTCTCTAGATCTTCACATTAGAATGAAATAAATGTAAAACATTGGAAGATTTTAAGCTTTCAGATGGCATGCCCCGAGTGGACGTGGCTCCTCCGTGTTGTAAGGGTGACCTGGTAAATGCTGCATAACCACAGCCCTGTTTCTGGCAGGGACCGAGCACGCCGAGTGTCTCGCACCTCCTGAAGCAGGTCTCCAGGGCAGGCTTTAAGCATGGCAGCAGTTAGGGCAGGGAGCTCAGGGGGCTCAGTATGAGCTGCCTACGAGGACCTAAATCTCGCTTGCTACTTTCTGAAGATGGAGTATCGCAACTAGTCTCCCCGCTGCGGGGATTTTTGTACTTTTTTTAAAAAAGAAGGAAGCGTGGTTTGCTCGTTCATCACACCTGTATAGATTGTACACACACATTTATTGCGCCTTTCTCCCTCTGGTAATGGAGTTAAGCTCCTTCAAACATTCCATGATAGTTAGGCTGCTTCTTGCCGGAAACAACACAAACCCAACTCCGTGTTCATAACAGAGTTTCTTTTACAAACTATAGGAAATGAATGGCCTTTTAAAATGATCCAACTGCTTAGGTGACTTCAGTCAAAATATCTTGTTCCCAGTGATATTTTGGTCTTTGTTCTGAGACAAAACAGATAAGCTGCAGTAAAATAATCTTGTTCTAACAGCGCGTTGCTGCAGGGCTGACTTGATGGTATGCGAGACCTTTCTTACGCGTACCGGGTTTGTACTGAGCAGCAGGAGTACGCTTCACGCCTTCTAATGTTAAGTAGGGAACACCTGACCAAAACGAGACAGTAGATGATGGTGGTCATTTTAGATACCCCAGCGTGATTGTTTTCTGCTTGATGTATTTGAACTGTAATGTATTTCATGTTACATAAATTTTAGACGTAGTATCTGGTGGAGGAAAAAGAAAAACTTTTTTTTTTTTCCCCAGCGCTCATGTCCTGTGAATAAAAATTAGCGCGGCACAGGGTACGCACAGCCTCTGTTCTGAACCAGCTGGAAGTCCTGTGGACGCTGGCAGTTACCCTGCCGCTCGGGAGAATTTATTTGCTTGGGTGTGATGTTCAGCTCCCTGACCGTGCAGCTTCCAGCCAGTGCAGAACACGGGCAGATACGAACGTACTTTGCCTGAGGATTTGTACTTTTAATTTTTTTTCAGTGCGTTATACTGTCATAACGGAACACTATCCTTAGATTTTCGTTGAAATCTGTCACTTGAAAAAACATGCCATTCTAGTGTGTCCATTTAGTGAAAAAATAAATGTGTGTCTACGCAGTTTTGCTGTTTTTCATCAAGGCTTGCTGTACGCTGTGCTACTTCTGCGTGTAACCTTTCCTTCTAGGAAGGAAGTCGTCCGTCACCTGAGTGTTTGTGATACGGGTAAGAACTTGTAGAGCGTCCGCCCCCATAGGTACGTGAATGTTCAGGCGCGTCCAGCACCTGGGTGAGGGGGAAGGATGCCCGGCTGTGGAAACCCATGTCCAGCTCTCCGGCGGAGGAGGTCCCTTGCAGTTGCCACGTGCTGTGCACGTCGTCTCTCAGCTGGGAGGCGCGTGGAGGGTTGCGGCGACGTGAAGGGTGGCGGTGACGCTCCGAGCTGGCTGCTTCACCCCAGAGCAGCAGGGAGGAGGCAGCTGAAGTGGCTCGGGTGCGATTTCTGCTTCGCGATCCCATCCCGTGCCTGACCGGGGAGCGTCCCCTGGGGAGGGGTCTCCCTGCTCTTCTGTTGCAGACAGGCATTTGGGATGGGAGCGGGCGCTACGTTGAGCGTGTGTAGTAAAAAGCCTTGCCCTTACTCTGTGGCTCTTCCGTACCTGTGTCCTTCCCTTAAAATTGACGTGGCGTTTTGCAGCAGGAAGCCTTGCAGGCCCCGGTGAGCCGTCCCCGAGGTCAGCAACAGGCGATGGGAGACTCGGAGCCCGTTACCAGCTGGGGCCGCCTCCCCGAACTACGGAAGCGTAACGCTCTGCCGCGATGTCATTGCCGGCTTTCCCGCTTGCCCAGCCCTGTACCGCTCCTCCTGGCGGGTGCAGCTGCGCTGCACGTATATTAAACGCAAAGCAGCTGTGATCCGCTGTCGCTGTCCTCAGGCGAGCGGTTATTCCTCCTGCTCCTCGTGGGTTTTCAGGTCCTGCCCATCAGATTAATACAAGCCTAAGGTTCTCAGACAAAAAAACAGCTTGCCTTAAAAATTTGTACATGAATCCTATTGCATTGGTCCAAAATCCAAATCCTACTGGAGGTCTTGTCTCTACGTGAACATCCATAGGCGTTTACAGGTTACAGGCTGCCCCCCCCACGCGTGTATGTATGCCTTAGATATATGCCATGTATACACGCACACGTGCCAAACGCTAGGACAGCGGGGGCCATTTACAGCAGTTGCTGGGCATTTGGAAGGCCCCTGGTGTAACAGGAACTGGAGGTGCTTGTTACTGTGCTGGCTTTACGCTACTAATAAATAATAATAAATGCTGATAATAAAATACCAAAGTGCTAATAATGGTGCCGCATTCTGCCAGCTTTGTTTAAAATCATATGCAAATACCGCGTTGCTTCTGTCAATAGCGGAGAGCATGGTGCTTGCACTACGGCGTCTGTTTTGACGAGGATTTGATGCTGTTTGAAAAACATATATAAAAAGCAATTCTTTAGGGTAATAAGATTAATAAAAATTCCTTCAATGAATCCTCAAGATCAGCAGCTTTTGATTTCTCGGAGAGCTCAGCTGCTGCCTTTCATTAAATATTCCATTTCATACTTCTTCTTCTAGTGCCTGTTCAGGGCTTTCAGTGTCCCTGCACATGTAAAATGAAATAATAATTTGTACCTGCAAGACAGAGGGAATGGAAATTGAACGCCTGGAGGATTGTTTTGATGAGGTCTGCTCAAGATTTTGTTTGAAATGTAATATCAAAGGACAGGGAAATGAGTTCAGTTATATGAATGGCAGAGGGGGCAGCAAATAAGGCAGATGTTACCAGCCTCGCACTCTGCATCTGTGCTGGTTTTTGTGTGTGCTCACTTCCCATTTAATTTTTCAGGAAGTAGGGCATGAAATTAAGCCTGGAAGGTCATTTTTTTCCATCGATGCTGTTTAGAAATTAGTAACAAGAGCCTATCTGATTACACAGGCAACGACAGTAAATTTTTCCCAATCCATTATATAGTGATAATAATTATATGTACTGTGTTGATCGATGATACAATTAAATAAATTAACACATTTGCAGTCAAATAAAGAGCTGAAGATTACATTTCCTTGAAGACTTAATTTCCCTAAGTATCACAAAGCACAATTAGTTTTCCATTCAGATTTTTTTAAATGAAATTGGCATGAAAAATGTAATAATCTCTGCTTCCAACAAAGGTCTCTGCAGAGAAAGGGTGATGAGGGAGAGAGCTTCATCAACCAGCTGTAATAAGGATTTTACAGACTCGGTAATGGCCGGGTTGTACTGCTGAGGGCAAAAGGGAAGTGCACGGCAGCTCTGCAGATGGAGATGATAAGACTGAATACGATCAGCGCTTAAAGCCCCGCAGGAACACGTTTTTCACTGGTAAGAAACCTACCAGAAGCCGAAAGGCAGAGCGGGGCCCTACCTACTGCTCTAGGTGCAGCAGAAGCTTGCCAACAGCAGGACCAAGAGATGATGGAGGGAACACGCAGCCGTTCCGGGTACGCCGAGCCGATCCTTCGCATCGCTGTTCGCTTTCGAGGCGTTCAAGAAAGGTCCCAAACCAGGTCCTTTACGTTGTTTTTTCTTTTTTTTAATGAGTAACTAACTTAAACTGGGCCATCGGTAGGAGCAGCTTTAGACCAATGTGCTGAATCGACCTGTGTTTGACAGGCGCAACAGGGCCACGTTACGTTTAACTGAGACATCTACAGGAGCTCACGGCTGCAACTGCCGCAATACAGCCTGCGCTCTGTAACCCAGAGCTGAAATCAAGACCAGGGACAGAGGCCGGGGCAGTGGCAAAGGAGACCGGGGCCCTTAAAAAGGATTTGGGAGAGCTAGTGGGCATCAGACCCTGGCGGGTCCAATTTCCTATTTGTTAACAGGAACTTAGCCTGTCCTAAATAAAAGAACTGCTAGTGAAATGTGGATGTGTAACCTCACTGCTGCAGTGGTGCCAGATCTCCACCAAAAAAAGGGTCCCGAAAGGCCTTTCGTTTCTTTACAGAGAGGGGAGCAAGAAAAAACATTTACTCCACCAACCCTCGGTGAATAGCAGTCTGTAAGAGATGGGGTTTATGGGCTTATTAATTAACAAACTCAAATGCAGCTTTGTGGGTAAAATGAACATCGAGAGAGAGAAGAGCGCGAGCTGCAGTCACTGGCCAGATTGCCAGTCTTGCTTTTCTGTGCTCCTTTTCTCCCTCCTCTCCAGGAGGTATCGTCTGGAGACACCTACGTAGCTTTGCGGTCTGTCTGCTCGTGCTAGGTGTGTTCTCCTTACACACTCACACAAGGAAATGGCTCACCGCCTGCTGGAAATGCCTCCTTCAAAAAATCCATTAGTTGAAAACTGTGCAAATAGTTTATAGTCAAGTTAAACAACAATAACATCGTGCCCCAGTGATGCTCTTTTTTCCTACAGCAGAGGGGAGAAATCAAGTTTAGGCAAAGCAAAATAACAGCAAAGAGGCAGCATCACTGATCAGGTCCTGCTCCTAAAACCGGGTAAATGACAGTCTACGCATCTTCCCGCCTCCAGAGGAGGAACCAGCATTTCGTGAATTCATATAACCATCAAATGAAATAAATATTGCTCAGTCATGAGTGCCAGGAGCCCAGCGCACAACGCAAGTTTGCAGGCTATGTAAACAGCGTCAGGAGGTGCAGCCTAAAAAACCCAGTGTGATCAGTGGCCACATCACCCCACGGTTCAGATTTGTTTTGTAAGGTGGATGCACATACTTCTGCTCTTCTCTGGCCTTTCTCAGCTCCAGTAGAAAATTTTACACCAGTTTTACTGTTGCGATGGCATAGAATTGGACCAGCACTGCATGTCTTTGAGAAGCATCACTTTCCATCCCTTCAGCAGCCAAATTTTGGCCAGAGTTGAGGGGCCACCAGCAGGGCAGAGGAGATGGAGAGTCAGGAAACCTCTCTGTCCCAGCAGCCCTTACCTGCACGTTCCTGGTACCCTGGTCCCCTAGAGATCTTCCACTGGGCCATCTACAACAGAAGCAGTGCATGGAATTATGTGTATTTCATATAAGAAGAGAACTATAGTTAACAAAAAATGGGTTGACGATTGTTTGAAGAACTTCTTATACACCAAAAAGAATTCCAGTGGCCAGAGGAGAAAAACAGGAAAAAGAAACTGTAAAGTATCAATATTTTATTGTTTTTTATATATACTTTTAAATCTTAAATGAGACAGTATTTTTTAAAACAGCAGCAAGCAGAACGTACAAGTTGAGAAAAGTGGCAGCGCAGGTAACTCTGTTTGGCTAATGCCCGTTCATGTACAAGGCGTACATTGGATTTTTTTTTTTTTGAGCACCTTTCGTGTTTTTTTTTTTTCTTGGTTTAAGTGTACAGTAAGGCAGTGGTTTTTCAATAAGGAATATATATATTTATATTTATATATATTTTCAATCATCACTGTGAATTCTTCTTACATGCAAATTAAATAAAATGTACAACTTGAAAATGTTACAGCGGTAGACATTTTCCCCAAAGCAAAGCTTCTAATGAAAGGCAAATACGGACACCACAAAGTTAAAAAAGAGAAGGAAGGTGTAGGAAACCGAACGGCAGGCGCTGTTGACAGGACAGCTTGAGCAGGGAAGATTGGGATTCCAGTGAAGATTTCTCCCGCTGCTGGCACGGTGAGAAAGAACGGATGGTTATTAACAGATGTCTCCAGCCAACTCCCTCGAGAAGATTCACTCTAACCTGAGAAGCTCCACATCAAAGAGGAGAGTAGCGTTGGGAGGGATGACCCCAGGGTGGCCTGTGGCTCCATAGGCCATCTCAGGTGTGCAGGTCAACTTTGCTCTTTGTCCTAGGCTCATCTGGGTTTTGGATGTTGGAGAAAGAAAAAGAGAAGACAAAAAAACAGTATTAGGAGGAAAACAAAGAACAAATCACTACGTGGCAGATTTACGTAACCGAGGAGAGTTGGGACCATCAGATTCATCTTTCAGTTTCAAGCTGAAGCTGCCACAAACAGCTCAGATGAAGGGCTCCTGACTCCTCTGGCTTCTCATGGCAGTTATTTAAATTGCCAGAGCCAGTCTGGGAGTCACACAGAGGCTTTTTAATGCATACTTTGGTCCATACTGCCTACGCCGGAGCCAGCTGTAGGAGGTGTGAGTTCCTTCTGCGGAGCGCAGGGTACGTGTAACACCATCAGCAGGCGTTAGGAAAAGGCTCTCGGTAACAGACAGGACCGGAGCTTTGTATTCATGAGACATCAGTGCCGAAACGCAGTTAAGGAAGTTCAGCTTCTGAAAAGCGTCGAGCACCACCAGGGACGACTTCAAAACCGTTGCTCAAACGCTAATGCTGTAGGCACCCAACTTTCTGCTGTTGGGCAGGTGCAAAGCAAACACTGATGCAATCCTGTCTAAAAGAGGTACTTATTTCCCTAAACTCAGCCCAAAGCCCGAGGGCAGACATCTCACCTCAGGTGCTGCTTATTCCGGCAGAGAGCCCTTGCCCCTGGGAGGGACAGAAATGCCGATTTCCCTCACTCCAGATGAGCTCTGGAGGTAACAGCGCTCACTGAAATTTTGGGGTATCAAGAATCAAATCCCTGCTCTTCCAACAGAGTATTTTGGGGTGGAGCACTCTCACACTGCTATTCATGCACCATACACTGGTGACTGAATATTCATTGGCCAAGAAACAATCCCTGATTTGAAGCAGTGATTTTAACCCAGATCTCTCTCCCAAGACCGGGCACACCACGGGACTACAGATTACACGATACCTCCTGTTGAATTTTTTTCAGGTCCTATAAAATATGCCAAAGCTAGAGCTTTGATCACTTTAGGTAGAAGAAAAATGTGAATATGAACTTTCCCACATTCCGGGAGTACTGATATCATGGGGCTGGGGGTATAAGAGCAGATGACCTCCCGTGGGCCCTGCAGGGATTTGTGTGGGGCGGGCTGTCTGCTGCTCTGGCGGGTGCCTGCAAGCCAGACAGCTGGTAAGTCATGCGCAGGTTTTAGGCATGGGGCAACCTTGAACTGTCAGAAGTTGACCAGAGAAATGCAGACGCTGCTGACATCCGACAGTCAATTAAACCAAGGTTCGAAAAATCCGCATGCTAGACATAGTGAACTGCCTTTCTCCAAGTGCTTTGTTGTCAATCACACCCCCCAAACCCCTCAAAACCCTGGGGTGGAAGGAGACAGCCACAAGCTCGACTTCAGTCAGCGATCCACTAGGAGGAGCAGGAGGGCAGCGTGTCGCCACACTCATCACTGGAATGGCTTTCGGCCACTTATTAATTAAGGGACAGGAGTCAGGGAGCGAGAGCAGTCAAGGAAGGGATAAACTGCTTCACCCAGCACTTGTTGCCACCGCTTTATCTGCGCTGGCTTCTGGTTTCTACAGCACACCTGTAGAAACAAAGCAAGTAATAAAGAGTCCAACTCAAATCCTTGAGAGGAAGGTGGGTATTTTTCAGAGAGTCTAGGATTCCTCAGATGGACTTCTCCTTCTCTGGCTGGAGAGAAGGGAATGCTTGCATTGCTTTCTCCATAGGGCTGGAAACCATTTTCTCTTCCCTCCCTCTCTGGAAAAGCATGGTTCCTCAGTGGATTGTTTCTTATTTTGCATTCTTCCCTTCTCTCTATTTAAGCCTAAGAAGTTGTTCCTGTTACAGTTGTTCCTGTAATCATATTTGAGCAGTTTCTTCCTACACTGAGCTCTAGGACCCCGAAAATGGGGAGTCACAAGGAATTTGCACGCTGATCTTGCACTTGAGCAGCCTGATCGCACTCCTCACGTGGCAGGCCCTCACAACGCTGCGGACAAAAAGCAAGAGTTGGCAATGAATTGCGTTGTGTGGCTCTTTTTAGGGTTCTACTGTGCTGGCACTCAAACTGTAATTAATGGAGGGCAGTTTTCTTTTTCTCAGCGTAGGGTTGGTCAGTGAATGTTAAGTTTTGTGGCTGAGAGCCTGAAGTCATAAAAATTTAACAGTGCAGTTTGGTACCTTATTCAGTAAGGGTCAAAATCTGTAGCTCGGTCATGGGTGTCATCAAAAATGGCTTGGACTTTTATGGAGTAGCTGAATAGAGGCCACGCCATAAAACACGGCCACCTGGAACATTTTAGAGGCCACTGTTGTCTATTTCTGGAGCTGCCCATGGGAAAGGGACGGGGCTTATGTGGTACATTGGCACCCGGGGAGGGGACTTCACCTCTCCCCTCCCAAACGCCTACCACGTGGAAAGCCTCATGAGTAGGGGATGTCCCTGAACAGACAGAGGAGAACTACAGGAAATACTCTGCTCGAATGGACCACGCTTTCAGAAAACCGCTCCGTATCCTACACTGCCATTTCCACTTGGTCTTGTCACCATTGCACCGGACATTACTGTGCTCATGCACCCTTCAACCGGCTTGAAGTTCAGCCAGAATAATTTCTTTGTACCTGTGTAACGCCTTCTTCAAATCCTTTAATGACTTCTTGCCTGCCAATCTTGAACCTGAAAGGCTTGTTTCTGTCTCTGGAGGAATCAAACTTCTTCCCATTCTGTAGCATCCCTGCCAAAACAAGACACACAGTTTCAATCTGAGCTACATCTAAATTTAAGCGCTGGGGGGGAGGGAAGGAGTGAGAAATTAGTGTCTCGGTCACATCAGCTGCTCATTTCTATTTTCACTCTGAAGCCTCATCCAAAACAGGTAAGGCAGGAGAGTCAAACGCAGTGGTACCATATTGTTACCTTTGCCTTCTAGTAATTTAGGCTCTAAAATAGAAATATATTCTTGTTACCTTTGCCTTCTAGTAATTTAGGCTCTAAAATAGAAATATATTCTTCTTACTATTCTTAATGCCATCGGTTATAACTCATACCGTACCAAACGTTGCACAGACATCCAGAAGAGCTGCTGCTCGCACAGTGGAGCTTCCTGGCTAAGTAGATAAAAGCAGCAAGGAACAAGTGGGAAGCAGCAGAAGACAGAATCCCAACACAGGTGCCTGATCCGGGCCTGCTCCTAAACACAAAAAAGCTCCCTAAAACAACCCTACAGACAAAGACCAAATTTAACATAAATTTGACTAGGTTTACTCCTCGTTAAACACCTACCATTTATTTTAAGGTGTTCTTTTAACAGCGTGACTAACTAAAGGGAATAGTCCTTGCGGAGTACATGTCGGGTAACCAGGGGGCTGTTGCTCTGTGTGGCCCAAAGCTCACCCCCGTCAGCAGGAGCTTTCCACCCACCTCAAAGGGCGGGGATGTAGATTCAGGTTTGGGAACTCTTGAGCCAAATTTGCTGCCATTTCAACATCTGCAAGTACAGAGCAGCTCCTGCAAATTTATACCAGAATACCTAGAAGGAATATTTGGTACCTTGGACTGTTTACCTTCCCTACTTGATCTACTCAGGAGTACTAGAATACCGTGCATTACACAAAGGTGGTCATTCCACACCACATATGTGAAACTTCTACACAACATTACAACTGCATTCAAAAATATGAAAATAGCAAGGACATTTATTGGAATACTCTACTACCCTCATTCTTTATATTTTCATTCAGTCGCAAGAGACAGTCACAGGAACACTTTACTCATTCCTTTTGATGGGCACAACACTGTTTCAACCCATATATTATGAACACATGCCCAGATTCTACAGCAAATGGATAAACCTTCACAGAGCGCTCCATGATTAAGTATTCTCATTCTCTTTTCAAACAGTGAGTAATTATGGCAGCTTTCAACTTAAAAGTACCCGGTAATTGCTCTTTCAAAATACTATACTCTGGATATTGCAAGGTTGGGCTGATATTTATATATTAGAGTAAATCCTTTCTTTGTAATGCTGTAGTGCCAGTGTTCTGGGCATACACCATGACCCTCCTGTGCAAGGTGCTGTACAAAGAGAAGTTCATTAATAAGCAAATATCTGCTAAAGTTTCTGGTTGAAAACAACCTTATCAAGCACAGCTTTGACAGAAAATGCTGAGAAATACTGCCTTTATGATCCAATATGAAAAATACAGTCTTACTAGTTTCTTTTCATTAAAGCTGTTATATTAATAGACCAGCTTGATGCACAAGTTTTATTTTTCAGTGAAAACCATCAGTTATTGCCCAAACAACAAAAAAAGGGCGTATTTTGCTTGCTTAAAAAGTCTGTGTTATGAATCAAAGGTAAATATAAAGAAAGAGATGTGCCAGATTGAAAAACAAAGACTAAAAGGGTAGGATTCATCTTACCAACCTTTATGCTTCCAAGACGTAGCCATCTACTTTTGAGCTAATTACTCTGCTTCCCTCTATAATCAAGTCAGAGAAAAATGAACTTTCAGGGGGCAATTCATCTAACCAAATCTAGGGATCTACATTAGGACATAATGCATTGCATCCTATCAGTCAGTGCCTATTTCTTTGCAATGAATATAAGGGAAGTCCAAACAACTAGCTCAGACATAGATGTCTCCAAGTTCATTAGTAGTTAAATCAGTGGTGATGGCATTCTGGACTTGCAATAATGAGTACACAGTACTTGATCATTCCAGTGGGGTTCTGTGTCTAAGTATTTTACATCAATATTAAAACCAAATGCCATATTATGGCAAATTAGCTGTTGACCAAGTCCAACATTTGTCAAAGTTGGTACTTCAGAGACACATATGAATGTGTATAAAGCCTTAAGAGGAAAACTATGGCGTAACCTGCCCATAAGGTGTGTTTCATAACCTTCAGCATTAGTGCTTGTCATATTCCTTAAGTTTTTCATTGTATAATAGTGAAGCATTTTATGTATGCTCCAATCCAAGTGCATACACATATTACACAATATATCAGCTCAGTGATATCTCTAAACCCCCTCCACGCAAGCTGGGAAGTCGCACCAGCTGCCTGCACAAGGCTTTCTAGTTACAGACAAACACGGGTTCATTTGTAATGTAGAGAACCAGCCTGCATATGGAGGAGGGCAGGCAGGGAGAAGCAGCTCGGGGGGAACTCTCAGGCATATCATATAATCCTTTTTGAAGTATTTGATCTTAAATTTAAATGGCAGTCCTCCCTCATAGCAATTTTATTTTTAAACACATCATAAAACCTTATGATTCTATGAAATGGAAGGAGACTATTACAGAATCCCAATATTTAATAGTTTTAATATAAAAACTTAGTACTGTCATTACAGTCTGCATGTTCAAAGCAGTATGCAAACATTAATTATTCTTCACAGCAGCCCAAGGAGGTAGAAGAAGATATTTATTACAAAATAGCCTCAGTCTGGAAGTTCAGATTCAGATGCAAAGTTCCACAACACTTTAGTATGCTTTCACTTCATTTTGTAACTAAATCCTATTAAAATACTTAAAGTTCTGATGGTTTACTAAATACTGCACATCAAACCGGCGGCAGAACCGGAATTAACTCTTTAGAGATTCTGACAACAGCTACTGGACAATGTTTCCCATTTAAAATAAGGTTTCCATCTGCCCGTGAGCTTGCTAGTCTAATATCTATCATATAAAAACTGACTCCCATTTCACCATTGAAAGCCTATAGAAGATGTGCTAAGCCTTGTAGAAGAAAACAGGGTTCTTCTCCTATGTTTACAGCAACATCCTATTTTCAGCAACGGCTGAAAATTCATCCGGTGATGAATTCAGAAATGTAACCTCCTCTGTCATCACCCCACCTTATTGCTTTCGGAGGACAAACTGAGATTCAAAGAGTCAGATGTGTCCATGTTCGCTGAAGCTCTGGCAGGAGGGTCAATTTTTATATGACTGCCCTTTAAATGCACATCTAGTTTAGAAATGAGTCAGAGTCCCCATGTGCCCTGGAGAAGTTCCGATCCGGATTTAGATCTGAACTTTAGATCTTTTTTATCTCTCTATTTCTGAAAGTTAGAGTCGACTATTCAGGCTCCTGGGAGCTAAAACAGCATAATATTTTATTTCCTCTTTTGCTAATGCATCAATTGATTTCCTTTTTGTGAAAAAATCGATTCGGTTAATATTCTTCAACAAGGACGGATGCCCATCTTCGGCCTGCTAGCACCTTTATTTATCTAGCTAACAACAAGGAGAAAAAAACCCACCATCTGGAACTGAACAGCAACATTGTTTTGCAAAGTCACAACAATCAATAAGAGTTTTGACTGAGCAAGGACAACTAGATGCCTATATGCTTACTTGTTATAATAACCTTACATTTGATTCTGAAAGGTAACAATCATTGTATTAAAATAATTGGACAAACTCAGTTATCAGAATATTGTGCGGATTTGAAAACATTCTGATCTACAAGGTGTCCTAATTAATATCTGGGTTTTAAAAATTAGGTGGCTGTAGAAAAGGAGATGTTTC